TATATCTATATCTATCTATCTATCTATCTATCTATCTATCTATCTATCTATCTATCTATCTATCTATCTATCTATCTATCTATCTATCTATCTCTTTGGAAATCTTAGTCCATTCACTATCATCATTAGAAGTTGTCCTCCTAGGTGTATATTTTATACTGATAATATATTGCCAGTGATTTAGGACATGCACTACTGAAGCAACCCTGATATTCCTCATTTCCAAGATTATTAAAGAAATGACCAGATTTTAAATATGTAAGAGCAAATGTCTTTAGAACAGGAGAGGTAAACATCAGATGATTTAGCCTATCAGGCAGTGAATTACCTTTGACAGGTCTCCAGCTTCCAAGTAGAAGCAGATAACAAATATGTTCCATGTAACCCAGAGGATTAGCCAGACAGCATACTGTAGAGAAGGAAAAGAAAATAATATGTTATTATTTTTTAATATCATTTAGGTTGAAATGATTCTGAAACAAGAAAAGTGAAAATGCTGACACAGGCATGCATACACAGCATGCAATCATTTTGTTACGTGAAAGAGGTTTACTTTAGCTTCCCAAATAAAGACAAAATGACTGGCACCTTTCATTTCACATTTACTCCATATAATAATATGATAGAGTGCTAGTCCTCAATGAATGACAATTTATTCAGCAACCATTCAAACATACAGCAGTGTTGTACAACTCCTACTTATGCCTGGTCCCTGAGTTATGGCCCCAATAATGCTCCTAGGGTCACGTGATAAAAAAGTGGGCACTTGGCAGCCCATTGACACAACTGCAGAGGCAGTTCAACTCCCACCACTTGCATATCTTCCTCATCTCTGCTTTTTTGGCCACTCTGCACAGCTATGGGAGATACATGATTCTTAAGATAGCCTGGCCCTATGCCATGTTGGACTTCTTAGGTAACTACCAGCATCTTGAATCATGCCAAGCTTAGTGGAAACCAGTGCAGTTCATGGAGCAGAGGTATCATTTTAGTATGCCCATCACTATCCATGACACCATATTCTGGACCAGTTGAAACTTTTGAGTGATTTTCAAGGATAGTTCCAGGTAGAGTATATTCCAGTAGTCAAGCCTTGAGAAGATGAAAGCATGAGTGATTGTCTGAAAGGATTCCTGGGCCAGGAAGGGGTACATGTGGTGCACCAGATGGAGCTTTACCAAGGTCCCTTAGTCATAGCTAGCACCTATTACTCTTTGAGCAGCAGCTGCAAATTCAAGACTCTCCCCAGATTACGTCTCACTCTTGTGTTCCCTCAAAGAACATAGATAGAAAATCCTCAGTTCCAAGGAACCTTAAGAGCCACAACTACTCAGTGTTGGTAAGACCGATTTGAAGTTAGTCCCTTTCCATCTGGTCTCACACAGTTTACGGGCACTGAGAGAGGACCATATTTCACTTGATTAACTCATACTCAAGAGAGATATTTTGATATGATCAGTATGTTCATGATACAGAACCCTAACTGACAGACGAGGTCACCCAGGGATTTCATATAGATGTAAAACAGATGGGGAGAGAGAGAGTTGAGCTCTGTGGTACCTGACAAAAGAAGAGAGAACTTCCACCAAATCCAGCCAACACTGACTGGATTTGGCCAGGAAGAAGAAGAACCACCACAAAATGGTGCTCCTAATTTCCAATTCCTGCAGGTTATCCAAAAGGATTCTGTAATTGGTGGTACCAAAAGGTGCTGAGAAACCAAGAAGCACCAAGATGAGTATCATTTCTATTCCAGTTCCAGAGTTCATCATCAAGTTCAAGCAACCCTACCTCTGTATGAATCCTTGCATGAATCCTGACTGAAATGGGTCTGTGTGTCACATGTATATTCATAATCAGTCTAGGTCAATTTTGGTACATATTGTCAATATGCATAAGTTCATAAATTATGCAAAAATGTGCATACACTTTTCCAAGTAACCTCAGACTTGCAAATGAGAGACTACTTTGCAAGCCAAAATGTTATTAGTCACAAGTACCACTAGGAAAGATAAGCAACGTACTGATAGTTCTGGTAATTCTCAAAGAATAAATAATAATTTCATGCTAATCTGCCTCAACTCCACGATAATTAAATTAATTATATAGGACCATTACATTACTAATATCAAAATTGTTTTCAAGCAAATCAAAGCACAACTTTAAAGCTATATGCTCTCATTTTATCATTTCATAAGCCTACTTACTTGTTTCAACCATGTAAATCAGTGAGTCTGTTTTATTTGTTAAGGATAATTATATATCAATTATCCACAGTGCTTGGCAACCAGCATGTTTTTACAATGATTGCAGCATCCCAGAGTCATGTGATCCACATTTGCGACCTTTCCAGCCAGTTTTTATCCACCATTGTCAATGGAGGACTCTAGATTCACTGAACAACACATCATATTTGATTGTTGCCCATATGAGAGGGTGAAAGACAGGTACCTGGGTCTACCGTGTTTTCCCGAAAATATGACAGGGTCTTATTTTCTTTTGCCCCACAAAATATGGCCTTGGGCTTATTATCAGGGAGGGCTTATTGTTTTGGGATTGCCGGGTGGCTGCTCCCTTGCAAGCGGACTCCCGAAGAGTCGGGCACAGCCTCAGGGGCGAAGCAGCCATGAGGTAACCACGCTCACGAGCAGCCACCTGGCAAATCCCCTCTCCAGCCAGGCAGAGCGCCATTTACTGACCTAGGGGGTATCACTAAGGCACCAAGCCACGTGGTGTTCTGCCCGCCCCCCCAGCTCCCACGGCTTGGCACATTTGGGATACCCCCTAGGACCCTAGGTCAAGCCCTGCCTGGCTGGGAGGGGGGTTGCACAAGCACCTGTTCCGCCCCCAGCCTCATCAAGTCCTTGCGCAGCTCTCCCAGGGCACCGCCACTGGCTGCCGCCGCCGCCACCACCCTCTGAGCATAACTTTCAAACTCCAAAACTCGGCTGCCGAGTCTTCCAGCATCGGCCGCTCTAGGAGTACTCTCTATAGTGGCTGGCTGCCGGACAGAGAGTCTTCCAGCAGCCGGCCCACCATAGACAGCACTCCTAGAGCGACCGATGCTGGAAGACTTGGCAGCTGAGTTTTGGAGTTTGTAAGTTATGTTAGGAGTGTAGCGGTGGTGGCAGTGCCCTGGGAGAGCTGCGCAGGCACTTGGTGAGGCTGGGGGCAGAACAGGTGCTCATGCAACCCCCCTCTCCAGCCAGGCAGAGCTCCATGCATTGACCTGGGGGGTATCCCGAATGTGCCAAGCCGCGGGAGCTGGGGGGTGGGCAGAGCGCCACATGGCTTGGCGCCTTAGTGATACCCCCTAGGTCAGTAAATGGTGCTCTGCCCGGCAGGAGAGGGGATTTGCCGGGTGGCTGCTCGTGAGCGTGGTTACCTCATTTCTGCTTCACCCCTGAGACTGTGCCCAGCTCTTCAGGAGCCCGCTTGCAAGGGAGCAGCCGCCCGGCAACTCTCCCCTCCGGCCAGGCAGAATGCCACTCCCCAACCTAGCGGTATCATGAAGGCGACAAGCAACGTGAGCGCCTTTCCCCCTGGCTCCCGTGGCTTGGCACCTTCGGGATATCGCTAGATCGGTGAGCGGTGCTCTGCCTGGCCGGAGAGGGAGGGGTGTCCCGGGAGTTTATTTTCAGGGGTGGGCTTCTATTTTTGCCCACGCGAAAAATGTGGCAAGGCGTTAGTTTCAGGACAGGTCATATTTTTGGGGAAACATGGTATATACTAAGCGAACGATCCATTGGGAACCCCATATCAAAGCAACTTACCGTATGTGTGGCCAGCATTTGAAAACAACATTTAATATAGCACAGTACTTGAGCAAAATAGTTCGGTTGAGATCGGCATATGTGATACTGACTGGGGTAGATTGGAGGGGTAACACTGAAATATAATGTTATTATATTTTATTTATCCATATATTAAATTATTGTATTTTATTCCAATTTCATTTTAAATTGTATTTTATCAGATTTTAGTAATAATTTGTCTTTGGAATTCTGCACTTTGATGTGGCCCATGGGCTAATCAATAAAGTAAACTAACTAACTTAAGAAGTACTGCAAATTGCTTAATAACCATGGTAAAAAAGGTTATAAAATTGGGCACAACCCACTTAACCAATTTGCTTAACCAAGGAAATTCTGGTCCCAATTGTGATTGTAAGTTGAGGGCTATCTATTTCGTTAATGCATTTCCTTTCACTTCTTGTCTTAGTCTGGAAGAAGATGGGAAGTTTTAGTTTCTGTTTAAAATTTAAAGACTAAAACCAAAATGAATTGATTGAACAACTGTTTTGTTTCAATTCATAGTTATTCTCAAGTGAGATACTGTATGTATAGATGAAGAGTGAATTTAGGAGGATCTTACATTGAATCCCAATTTTACAAAAAGGATTTAACTGTAAACTCAGCAAAAACAAATTAGGTCCCTAAAGTAAAAGGCACTGACAAAATAAGAGAAAGTGTTAACTTCAAGAATGCAAGCAGGAGTGCATAAGATAGCGGAGAATGGTTAGTGGTTGGTGTCAGGTGGCAGTTAGAAAAAAAACATTAGATTTTAAAAATCCACTTGCTTAAGTTAAGGCTCTGTTGTACAAAGAAGAGTGATTTTATCTAGCTCACTTCTTCTAGAGTATTTTAATAAGCATAAGGTTTACCCAAAGAACAAAGGCAATGTTGTCACCTGTGTTAACAGTAATTATTGACTATATTAATGTTGATTAACTGCAATTATAATCTAACCAATCAAATTGAAGATTTGTATGTATCAATCCCTGGAGAGGATATACGGTATAACATCCTTCTCCTCCAAGTATTGGCTGTTAGTCTTTGGTACTTTGGCATTGGTCAAATTAATATATGAATTCATACTTCAAATTAAGTATATCTTGGCTTCCATTTAAATATACCTTGGTAGGAAGTGTTCTTCACAAACAAACTCCAAATCATAGGTTCTGAGTATGATTTCAGCAAATCACAGTTGGTATTACCTTGTTGACACCTTCAAAACAGCACTTTGTGGCTGCTCTGGAAAATGAGAGAGGTTGGTAAACTGTTCTAATATCTCTGCTCTTTGTTTGTCACAATAAATTCATGTCACCAAAACTGCCCCATTAAAAATAATGCTACCATACAATTCTGTAAATTCTACTTTGAGCCATAATGTTTGTAAGTATTTTTCCAATGCTAATTTTAAATTCCTGGCAAATTTTCCTCTCTTTTTCTCAAGAGGAAACAATCTATACACAGCTGAATTTTCCTTTGATCATTACAACTTTAATTATCTATAAATAAGAAACACTATGTCCTGATAGATGTAAGTACTAATTAAGTTAGATAATTAATTAATGCATGGACTCTGTTTCAGACAGGTGTGCAAAGGTGCTTTGCTGTAAGAACAGTA